TTAACACCCTCCACAATAAAAATGATTAATCAACCTCTCATAATTATAAAAAAATGAACAAAATGAAAAATTATGATTGGTTGAATGCGGTTTGCACGGTTTGTACAAATTGAATGGTTTGCATTTGATCGCTCCCATATATATATATATATATATATATATATAAATGATAGGAACAAATCATTTGCATAATACCAATTACCAAGTAAAGATTTCCCTTGGCTTGTTACATTTTCGTGCATATATACTTCATGGAACCATCCATGTTACGTCATGGGGCTTAATCGTTACAAGTTTGTAATACTAAGATGCCTTAATACATTAGATCACTTGTCTATCATAACCATAATTAAGAAAATGTGCAAATTAAATTAATCATTTTTTTTTTAATTTCGATAATACGATATCGAGAATCAAATAACTTTTATAGTCTTGATCTAGCTTTCACATGTTGCACAAAAAGAACGACTTGCAACTAAACCATGGTACTTATCTTGTTATTTTTCCTGTAAAATAGAAAGATACCATCGATCGTATTCACTCTTGTCCATATAAAAACCGAACCTCTAGCGTATTTGGAAGCGGATGAAGTTAGGTTTGCAAGCTATTGAATTTATAAAACGTGATGGACCAATGTGGGTAGTGGAGATAATTGCGAGTATAAAGTGAAAATACACCGTGGCTTTAGCAATTAGCAGCTAGATATTATTAATAAATTAATCATAATGATGGTCCCACGTGTTGGTATCTAGTATCCACAGTTGAAACGACGGCGTATGAAACTTTGACATGTCAGAAACTGTAAACCTGGATGCCAATCTTATATATATTAAAGAAGAAACCACGTCCAGTGACGTGGCCTCTTCTAAGGCCTGAAAACTCATTTATCTGCTCTCCCCTTTTCTCAAGCTATCGGTTAATATTTTCTTAAAACCTTTCAATATTCACCGGCTTCTTTTCCGTTTACCTTTTTGTCTCTATTTCCTTTTCTCTTCGCCCTCTCCTTCAAAATAGGGTTTTTTTTGTTATCTCTCCTCAACCTGCCGCTCTCCTCCTCCATCCCCCTCAACTTGCCTCATGACCCCCTAAACTGCCCTTGCTTCACATCGAGACCTTGCTCGGCGCCGGCGGAGGAGGTAGTACCACCGCCCCACCATCCTCCTCTTCATCTTCTTCTAATAAAAGGTAAAACAAAATTAGGGTTTCTTATATTATCTATTCCTTTGTGAATTTAGGGTTTGTTTTAACGTATTTTTGTTTCAAGAAATGATGTTTGTGATCTGTTTTGCAACAGCCAAAGTAAATAAACCAAACCCCATCGAGATCCCATTAGGTTCAGACCTTGCTCGGCGCCGGCGGAGGAGGTAAAACCAAGGTAAAACAAAATTAGGACTTTGGAATATCAAGTCCTCTACACCAATGTTTCGAATTTGGAGGATGAGAGTTAAGGACTTTTTGGCGTAGTCCAAACAGAGTGCTGGGTTATGGGTTAGAATTGCTTCATAAGCTCGGTCTTCTTTGATAAGAGGTTTCAACCCCAAAAAAAGGAATATTCTCATCCTAAAATTGTTCTAGGTTCCATTACAAGTTTAAGACTACCATAAGTATCAC